CCAACAACTCTACTTTCAATTACCATAGAGCAGATTGGGAGCAATACCGAACATTTATGGAATATAGCTTCGATCCAAACATTCCTTTGCAAACCAAAAATGACGTTAATTATGCCATTGAATCTATGGCTAGTTCTATAGTTGAAGCAAGGGCTGCTTCAGTATCAAAATTCGAGGTTAAATTCGATTCAATTATAATAGACGATGATCTTCAGTTCTTGATCCGTCTGAAAAATGTTCGTAGCAGGCAATATCAAAGAACAGAAAAAAATATGCTCAATTTTTTCTGTCATTGATGTTTTCATCGCATTTTAGGCCGAAACAATGTGCCACTCGGTAACATAGTTCTAGAAAAGAACTTTAGTGCAAAGCAAGTTCAAGTGATCGGTAAAATGCATTTCAAAGTGTTTTTTTTTTTAACAGCATCCTTTTCGTCAGAACTGTTATTAGGTGGTTGGCAAGCTGGCCCTCGATGATTGTGATTGGATTGGAGGCGGATTGTGCAAGAATTTGTATGTAGATTCGATGGAATAGTTTGAAGTGTTGAGCTAGAACTAGGAGATGCAACAGTCTTTCAAGTTTTTGTTTCGAAGAGCCGCTTTTGTGCTGTATTTTGATGATAAATCAAATGTCGAATGCGCTATTGTCCAAGGTTGGAACGAGTGGGTATGGCTAAGTTCCAACATAGATTTGTCAATTGGTTCATTCGGCAAGAAAGTCGTTCTAGTGCTTTTTTTCTGGTGTTAGACGTTTGATGTTTTGTACCTTAAAGTTCCTAGAACTAATTTGGAAATTACCCGGAAAAGTCTTGGAAGTGCCTTTGATTCAACAGTAGTGCAGCAGGACAGTAAGAGTACAAAATTAATGAAATTAGCTGAGATCTTCCCTTTATTTTCATTTATATGATGTTAAATTTATAATATATTTTCGTTCTATTACTCTCTACTGAAATCTAGCTCTCACCTGTTAACACAAAAGGAAAAGTTCGCGAGTCATTGTGAGTTTTAGCGAACTTTTCCTGTAGATTGATTAGCGGCCCGATTTTTGTTCTGTTTTTACACAAAAGATAGAACTAGGTTTCCTTCCTCCTTTTCATTTATCCTACGGCCTTTTATTCCATGTTTCTCTTTTCAGAAAGCGAGTAATGGCGCTAAAACCATATGCCATATTGGGCTAAGACAAGAATTAGTGCTCATGTCCCAACCACTCGAGGAAAATGGGGTATCATTTAACTTTTTTAGATTAGATGCTCCCAACGACCAATCATGGATAACAATACAACGGAACGTATGGTACGAGATGTGGATGTTTCATCCATTTATTGGATTCTGAAGCATCTTGTTTAAATTTTTGATTTAAACAGGCCCGATGTTTTTGAATCATCTTGTCCCTTAAATGTTGCACACAAGGCCTGGTCGTTTTGATATAATTTGCGCATATCTGATGTACAAAGCATACCAAATAGACAAGAAAAAGGATGGAGGTATATGTATCATTTTCCAGGATGCTTTCATGGACTGGCTGTGTTGGTGTTAGATTAGATTAGATTAGATTAGATTAGATTAGTAAGAGGCAATATCAAAGAACACGTGATCCTGCCATTAAAATCTGCCAGGATTTGCAAAAAAAAAACAAATAAAAATGCGATTGCCTGCCCTGAACAACAAAAGTTTTGAAAATAATGTCTATCCAATCGCTTAAATAAAGAGGTAAAATGTTGATCACCAAATTGGAATAAAAAATCTCAGAAACTTGCTAAGCAATTCGAGAATTCCTAAAATTTCAATTTGGGTCTTACAAGTCCTAAATATTGAAAATTAGGTTGCTCGGGATGATCTGAATATTTTCTTTCGAATAAAAAATATATTTTTGATGATTCCTGGGGGACGAATTTGAACGAAGTCAGATGTATGACTAAAAAGCGGGAAGGAGATGATGGAAGTTTCTATAAATGCAAAAATTGTTCCACTCTTGGAGCCAGATAAAACTCCAGCTGAAGCTTCTAGCTACCATCAAATAAATTTTATTTCCTAATAATTAAGCTTTTTGAAACGATAATTTTGAATACAATGATGCTGCACGTCAATTCGAACTCAATTTTCGCAGATGAGCAGTTTGGATTTCGCCATGGGCACTCAACTACTCATCAACTCTCAAGAGTTACAAATTTAATTCGTTCAAACCAATCTGAAGGCTGCTCAACTGCAGTTGCTCTTCGAGACATAGAAAAAGCATTCGACAGTGTTTGGCATGGAGGTTTGATTGCTGAATTGAAAAGGTTTAATTTTCCACTCTATATTATGAAATTAGTTCAAAATTATTTAACTGACAGAACTTCGCAGGTAAATTATCAAAATTCCAAATCTAATCGACTATCTGTTAGGGCAGGAGTTCCTCAGGGTAGCATTCTTGTGCCAATATTGTATAACATTTTCACTTCGCACCTCCCTGATTAGCCTCAGGGTTGCCACGAATCTTTGTTCGCTGATGACACAGGCATTTCCGCTAAAGGAAGAAGTCTTCGTGTTATTTGCAGCAGACTGCAGAAAAGTTTAGATATTTTCTCTTCTTATTTACAAAAATGGAAGATTTCACCCAACGCTTCCAAAACTCAACTTATAATATTTCCACATAAGCATAGAGCTTCCTTTTTGAAACCTAGTAGTAGTCACATAGCCACTATGAACGAAGTTTCAATGTCCTAGTCAAACCAAGTGAAATGCGTTGGATTAGTACTATACCAAAATTAACTTTTAAAGATCACATTGAGGGCATTCAAGCCAAATGTAACAAATAAAGGAAATGGCTTCAATGTTGGCCTATGGATTTAAGATTGGGCTTATCGTTAAAAATCTGCTATTTATCAATTTTATCTATATGAACGCGTCACTGGGACGGTTCTAATGGATATTTTTGGTCGCTATTGAAAATTTAGTCGATTGCTGAATTTATGTATGGACCCATATAAGGGGCATTTAGGCTGAAATTACATCCATTTCCCCTGTATAAAATGTTTGTATCCTCTTATAAACAGGAAATCCAAACTTTGCCTGAAGAATAAACTTCAAATATTTAAACAAGTTTTCAGAACGGCCATGCTTTACACTGTGCCAATATGGTCTAGTTGTTACACTACCAGGAAAAAAGCACTTCAAAGGATTCAGAACAACATTCTGAAGATGATTTTGAAATTGCCTCCTTGGGACAGTACTACCGAGGTAGGGTAAATGGATGTAATGTCGGCCTAAATGCCCATACATAAATTCAGCAATGTCCAATAAAGTCAAATTTTGCTCGTTGGGATATGTTTAAGTGGGCTACGTTTTAGTTGGGCTCCCGATAGTTGGGCTGTACCCATCCTCAATCGAAGTCAAACGTCATTTCTGACAGTGCTGATTCATTTTCGAGGGGTTCATGTATGAACAATTTAGATATTTGCTAAAGAATTGTGATGATAATCAACAATCAGTGTATCCCTCAACCAATTTTCAGCTTGACAGCTCAGCCAAACTAACGAAGTCTTTCACTAAGTGGGCTACGGGTTTAGCTCAACGAGCGAAAGTTGACTGTAAAATAATTAATAATATTAGTCAAAAATCGTTACAGCCTTCCATTGCAACGATTTATTCTCTTTGTACTTCGATAAGATTTAGTTTTAGTTTTAAGTTTTAAGATGTCAATTGTTAAACTGACATGCAAGTATAGAAAACCTGTTTAAAATACTGAATTACCAAGGCAGGAGCAATTTTAAAACACTGTTAAGTTACTGTAGTAGCTGGAGCACCTAGGTTTAAATGAAATGAAATTAATTTTAAATTTGAAAGAAATAATGAGTCAAACACATAAAATTAATAGACTTTTTTGGATCATTTAATGGGAATAACTTAGCAAAACCTGAACTTATTATTATTTATTATTTTTTTTTTTTTATTTTTCCGTTATTTTTAAACTTTTACCGAGAAGTTATGTAGTTCAATACCAAACTTCGGAGGCCTGGATTAGTGTGTGATGCACTTCCCATACCTCCTCAATTACTCCACAGATATTTCATTCCATTTATCATCCACTTCACTAATAGCGCTTGAAATATTTCGCTGACCGGTGTGAGTGGTTGCTCTCAAGATTAAAAAAAAAACATCGTCCACGAAAACATTTCAAGCCATCTATCTATATAATCTTGACGATGACGCCAATATTTGAATTACAACGAGCATGCATATTTCTCCAATGGAAAAATGAATTCCCGGCACCGATAAACAGCCAAAAAAAATAAAACACCCTTTACTGCACATCTGCCGTACGTTTGGACCTTAAGCGAAAAGTAGCCAACCACACCGGAACGATGCTCCCTGCTTTCAATTTATGACCATCGCCCACGATGAAAAGTGAAAATATTATTTCCTTTCAACTGTACACGTTTGAGCATGTGTTTTCTTTTCCTGAAGAAACAAAAAAAAAATGATTGAAAACAAACTCCCTCCTTCATACAATTTTTTTGCCAGCCATGTTTGCAATCGAAAACCGAGATCCTTTCCTTGGATACAAGTGGGTGGTTGGCATCCGTTTGAATTTTTCTGGAAAATTTGTTTGTTTAATCATGGTAATATTTCGATCAAAGTTTGAATAACAATCGAGAGGATTAATGTGCACTTCAACATCTGTTTCTGGGTTGAAGATGTTTATCTTTTGGAAACTGCTCGTTTAGTTAGTGTTTGTGTATAAAAATTCGCATCGTTTCAGCACTTCTAAGATACGAAAATGCTCATAAAATTTCATTTATTACCAGTTGGAGAATCGAGACCATCTGTCGTCGTTTGTCACTGTCAGTGACACACCTAAGACACGTTCTATATTTGAAAGTTTCGACAAAACACATGACCACACGGTCCCATATAGAGGACAAGAATTAATTGAGTGACGAAACGTGTTTCATGTGACCAGAATCAAACAGCTGATTACTAACGAATGTTTTCATTTCATTTTCTTCCTCTCCCCCTCAGGGCCCCGAACAAGTTCACGTGTCCAAATTCTTCAAGGAAGCCAAGGATGGTAAATATGTCAGTTGCCTGGCGGATGACGCCCGAACACTGTATCAGACGTTCCGGAGAGGTGTCATCGAATCAAACAATGGGCCCTGCTTGGGCTGGCGAGATAATCTCCACTCGCCTTATCAGGTAACAGCTCTAAACATATTCGCATTCAAACCGACTAACCAACCACAATTCCCCTTTCCAGTGGATGAACTTCAACGAGGCCCTGCTCCGGGCGAAGAACTTCGGTTCCGGTTTGATTGCCCTCGGTCTGCGGCCTGGCACCAGTACCTTTGTCGGCATCTACTCGCAGAACCGCCCCGAATGGATTCTGTTCGAGCAGGGATGTTATTGTTACTCGTTGGTTGTTGTTCCGCTGTACGATACCCTCGGACCGGATGCGTGTGCATTCATCATCGACCAAACGGAAATAGCCGTCGTGGTGGTCGAAGATGACAAGAAGGTCAACCTGCTGCTCGACAAGGCACCGAAGTGAGTTTTGGTGATGCATTTCGCCCCATAGTGTACAAAAATTTCACACATACATCTCATCCGCAGATCCCTCCGGAAGTTCGTGGTCATCAAAGAGGTCCGCCCAGCCACGTTGCAGCGTGCCAAGAACCGGGGCATCGACATTCACTCGTTCGATGAGGTGGAAAAACTCGGCGCTGCCAAATCGTTGCCGGAAGTGGAACCAAAGCCGTCGGACCTCTGCACGGTCTGCTACACATCGGGCACAACGGGTAACCCGAAGGGTGTGATGCTGTCGCACATGAATGTCGTTTCCGGCGTGGCCGGAGTTTTGATGCAACTAGGGCCCCACAAACCTCGCGTAGGAGATATTATGATTTCGTTCCTCCCGCTGGCGCACATGCTGGAACGGTGCTGTGAAAACGGTGTCTACTACAATGGCGGTGCCGTTGGGTTCTATTCCGGTGATATCAAAGAACTGACCAACGATATGAAGGCACTACGACCAACGCTGATGCCAGCGGTTCCTAGGCTACTGAATCGGGTGTACGATAAAATCTACTCCGAAGTGTCGCGATCGTCGGTCAAGAAGCTTTTGCTCAGGATGGCACTGAATGCAAAGGAAGCGGAAATCAAGCGAGGAGTTGTGCGGCGGACCAGCATGTGGGACAAGCTGGTGTTCCGGAAGATTCAGGAAGGATTCGGTGGTCGGTTGCGACTGATGGTGGTAGGATCGGCTCCACTCTCGCCAACGGTGCTCACCTTCTGCCGAGCGGCTCTCGGGTGCCTAATTTGCGAGGGTTATGGACAGACGGAATGTACGGCACCGATCACGCTGACCGTGCAGGGCGACTTTGTACCGGGACATGTTGGGCCTCCAGTGGCGTGCAATTCGGTGAAGCTGGTCGATGTGCCGGAAATGGAGTACTACGCCTCGCAGCAGCAGGGCGAAATCTGCGTCAAGGGTGCCAACGTGTTTATTGGGTGAGTTTTAGGTGCTATCAATGCTACAAATAGGTATCTTATTATAAAATCTATATAGGGGAAATGTCGGCCTAAATGCCCCTAATTTGGGCCCATACATAAATTCAGCAATCGACTAAATTTTCTATAGCGACCAAAAATATCCATTAAGGCCTGTACTCGAAAAAAAAATGCACCAAACAAAAGTGTTCGCCAAAAATTTATTTTAAGTAGGATTTTCTTGAAACTTTCAGGGAATGAACTAATACATATGGATTATGTTTCGGCATAATTACTTTATTCAATTTGCTTTCCATCGCTGAAAGCCCGCACCTTTCCCTTAAGACCCCTCATTACATTTTGTGCAATGGTGGAGCCGACCTTTTTGGTCACTTTCATCCATTCTTTCTTCAACTCCAGCTCGTTCTTAAACACCTTGGACGATTTTCGAACTTTGGCCTTCATTATGGCCCAAAATCTTTCCACCGGACGAATCTCTGGTGAATTTGGGGGGTTGGCGGTTTTTGGTACAAAAACAACGGTATTGTCTCTGTACCAATCCAACGTCGATCGCGCGTAATGGCATGATGCTAGGTCCGGTCAAAATAATGTCTCACCTCCGTGGGACCGCAGGAAGGGCAACAGATGCTTCTGGAGGCACTCGGTGCGGTAAATTTCGCTGTTGATGGTACCCATTGTGATGCACGGTTTACTCAGTTTACCGCATTGGCATATGGCCTGCCAGAGCAAGTATTTTTTGGCGAATTTGTCCACTTTCTTCTTCCTTATGTCTTCCGGAACATCAAACCGTGATTTGGCAACGTAGAACTCCAGCCCCGGTATCTGCTTTGCGTCTGCCTTGATGTAGGTTTCGTTATCCATAACCACACACATCGGTTTCGTTAACCACTCTCGATACATCTTCCTTGCGCGGGATTTCGCGGGATTTGTTTTGTTGATCACACCGGTTCGGTGCCTTCCGGACCTTGAATACACGAAGCCCAGCTCGTTTCATGGTTTGCTGAACGAACCAGGCGGAACACTTTACCTTCAGAGCCACGTCGCGAATCGAAAGGTTCGGATTACGCTTGAAATAATCCAACACCTGTTGATCCAGGGTCAGCTGTCAACGATTTTCTTCCACTTCCAGCCCGCCGCTCGGTCGTCTGGGACTCCTTAAACGATTTTACCACCCGAGACACAGTTGTATGGGTGATTTCCAGTTGTCTTCCGATCCATCTCATGGTCGCAGTCGGATTTTCCATGACGGCGCGCAAAATTCTCCGACGATTTTCTTCTTGTTTCGATGACATCTCAATAACCACTGAACCGAGTGTTATGAAATTTTGCACATGTAAACAATTTACTCCACACTAGTTATACCCCGATTTTCATCAATTTTTACCCACGGATAAAAAAGTTACACACGGATAAAAAAGTTACACACGGATAAAAAATGGTGCATTTTTTTCGAGTACAAGCCTTATTACCGTCCCATTGACGCGTTCATCTAGATAAAATTGATAAATAGCAGATTTTTAGCGATGGGAGATCCATAGGCCAACATTAAAGCCATTTCCCCTACAAAGATACCTAGCCAGAGCCGTACTCAGGAATGCTATACAATATAGGCCCAAGAATGCTACCATGAAGAATTCCTGCTCTAACAGGAAGTCGTTCAGATTTGGAATTTTTATAATTTATCCGCAGAATTCTGTCAGTTAAATAATTTTGAACTAATCTCATAATAAATTAAACTTTTTTCAATTTAGCAATCAAATCTTCATGTCAAACATTGTCCAATGCTTTTTCCATGTCTAGAAGAGCAACTCCAGTTGAGCAACCTTCAGATTTGTTTAAGCGAATTAAATTGGTAACACTTAAGAGTTGATGAGTAGATGAATGCCCATGGCGTTCATGTTCATGTTCATCTGCAAAGATCGAGCTCGTATTGATGTGAAGCATCATTCTATTTAAAATTATATTTTCAAAAAAAGTTTATTTATTGAACAAAGCACGGTAGCTAGAAGCTTCAGCTGGATTTTTATCCGGCTTCAAAATTGGAACAACTTTTGCATTTTTCCATTTATCAGGAAAGTATGCCAAATGGAAACATCTGTTAAATAATTTTACCAAGAAGACAAGGTACTCTCTGTGAGTTTTTTGATGAGCATATAGAAAATTCCATCATCACCTCGGGCTTTCATATTATAAAACTATTTAGTTATAGATCTGGCTTCGTCCAAATCAGTCCCCCAGGAATCATCAAAAATATTTTCCAAAGAGAAAATATTCAGATCATCCCGAGCAACCTGATTCTCAATAGGACTAGTAAAACCCAAAATGAAATAATGGGAATTCTCGAATTGTTTAGCAAGTTTCTGAGCTTTTTCCGAATATGTGATCAAAATTTTACCACCTTTTTTAAGCGCTGGAATAGGCTTTTGAGGTTTGGGTTTGGAACTCGGGTCTTATTTCGAAACATTATTTTCAAAAGTTTTGTTTCACAGTTCCTCGTGTTCTTTGATATTGTCTTTTACGGATATTTTTCAGACGGATCAAGAGCTGAAGATCGTCGTCTATTATAATTGAATTGAATTTAACCTCGCATTTTGGTACTGAGGCAGCTCTTGCTTCAACTTTAGAAGTAGCATAATTAACATCATCTTTGGTTTGCAAAGGAATGTTTGGATCAAAGATATATTCCATAAATGTTCGATATTGCTCCCAATCATCTCTATGGTAATTGAAAGTAGAGCTGATGGGATTAGAAATTATTTCTTGGGATATTTCAAAAGCTTCTGAAAGGGGATCAGAACCGAAATCAGCATGGGTAACCAATTGGCTACAAAGTTGACATGAATCATTTATGACCAAATTCAATAATAGAGGGATTTCTTGCTGAAGAAAAGCATGTTGGGCTGTTTGGATATCGAATCGTGAACAATCATCGGACAGAATATTACTATTGTAATTGCTTTGAGAATTATTCCATGAGCAGTGTTTCGCATTAAAAGCACCAACAATGAAGAATTTAGACCTATGACGGGTAAGCTCTGAAGGTCATCCTAGAGAAAGTTCCTCTGCTGCCCTAAGCATTGAAATGGCAAATAGGCAGATATAAAAGTAAGTTGTCCAAATTTTAATTCGACAGAAACTCCCAAAGTTTCAAAAACTTTGGTTTTAAACAACGAAAGAATTTGATGTTTGATTCGTCTATGAACAATGATGGCAACGCCACCACAGGCTCCATCAATACGATCATTTCTATAAATGAAATAAGTTGCGTCCCTTTTAACCTTATGGTCAAGTTTAAGAAACGTTTCTGCTATAACGGCAATATGCACGTTATGAACTTTCAAAAAGTTAAATAGCTCGTCTTTATTATCTTTAAGAGATCGAGCATTGCAATTCAAAATATTGAATGATTTAAAATCCTTTACTGAATTTCAAAGTATATATATACTTTGATATTGTTCGCAAATTTAACTCCAGTTTGGATAGCATCAAACATGGAGTTAGTTTTCAGCATATCAGTAATCATGTCATATAATAATTTCTGTAAAAAATCCATTTAGGAGCAGTAATGCTTCCTAAGTCAACATTTTCAAAATTTTCGTTAGAATTATGTTGGCTAATATTTTGATTTTTACCCGTTGCAATAGCAGCATAGGTAGCTCCATTAACTCGCTGAACAGCGAGGGGAGTAGGTATAGATGAAAAATTTGAAGCAGAGGTGATATTTGTACCGACGGGTAAGAATGTAGGATTTGTTCCTCGCTGACCGTTGTTAACAGCAGAGGAATTTGTACCTGTTCGGAAACGTGGAGCGTTTCCTACCTGTCGCTTAAAACGAGATTGTAGGATCGTTTTGCGAGTCTTACATTCCCAAAAATTGGATTTGTGGTTTTCACCACAATTTTAACATTTAAATTTCTCAGGATCTTCCTTCACAGGACAGTCGTCCTTTGCGTGAGAGGAATCACCACAATTCATGCATTTAGTGGGCATGTAGCAATTTTTAGTTCCGTGACCCCATCCCTGGCACTTACGGCACTGGGTGAAGTTTTGGAAATTTCCTCCAGTCTTCCTGAAGTGTTCCCACTTCACTCGGACATGGATCATAAGGATAGCTTGTTCTAAGGCCTTAAGGTTGTTTAGTTCGCTTGTTCACTAGACTTGAAGTGAACTAAATAAAAATCATTAGAAATCCCGTTGCGTGAATCGCCAGGACGGGATTTAATTTTTATTTTGATTACTTCGACAGACTCAACTCCAAGTAATTTAGTCAATTAATCTTTGATCTGATCCAAGAATTCACCACTGGGCAGATCTATCAAGACAACCTTGAACAGATGTTCAGTTTTGATGTCGTAATTAAAAAAGAAGTGTGTTGCTTCTCAGTAAGGTACTTGAGAAGACGTTTGATTTCTTCCAAGGTTTCAGACAATACACGGCATTCACCCCGACGGACAATTTGAAGTGCAACAGTTCCGTGCAAAGAGCATCAAAATCGGATGTGATTATCACAATAGGGCAGACCTTTTCCTTCTTGGCATCATGGGATCATTCTCATCATCCGTGAACATATCAAATTGATTGCTCAAATTATTTTCATCACAAGGAGGATCAAGAGATTTTCCTTTTGCGATTAGGCGTCATGGCGGCAATTTAAGAATCCGAAGGATCGAAGAGGAATTTTGCCATGTCGATGGCCAAGCAGGATTACCTCGGGTAGGGTCCAAACAAGTATCAAAGAGGAATATGAGTCGAAAAAAGGTAGACATTTAATGGGTTGAGCACTGAAAAGTGCGGTTTAAATTTGTTGGAGCTTTAGGTAGCAGCAACACTTCTTTGAGTAAAACAAATAGATCCGCAAGGCAAGAGAGCACGATGCGGACTACGTAGTCTACACTTGCGTTTTGGCTTGTGCTGCAAATGTAATAGATGGGTTTCGCATGAAAATTGGTTGGTGATCAATTTACCAATGGTAATGGTAATGGCGTCATGCTGAAGCTCGG